CCTGCCAGCTGTCTCGTGTTTATGCCCGCCATAAATGCGAGACGCCTGGCAGACACAGCGGGGGGGGCAGAGGAGGCGGAGGGGGCGAGGTGGCAGCCGGCGAAGAAAGGGGAGAGGAGGAGGAGGAAAGGAAGATGGGAGCAGGATGGGGGGGGTGAGGGCTGCCCCTCTCTTCTTAAACAAACAAGGCTCCCCTCCCTGCGTCAGCTCCTTCCCTCTCTTCTCAAGCAAACTCTCTCTCAAATTGAAAGAGAGAGAAAGAAAGAAAGGAACACATAGACACACAATAAAAACAAATTACAAATACTTAAATTACAAATAAATTGAATTCATCCCCCCTGCCCCCTCCCTCTGATCCACACACCTTCCAGCTACGCCAAAATTCCAGATTCAGTCTAGCTAGGCTCCAGGGCCAGGCAGGCTAGGATAGTGGCTCCTAGAGCCACCACATGCCCTCTGCAGGAAGAGGCCGGAGAACTATGAGCCTCATTTGCATTTTTTTTTTTGCTTTTTAACCCTTGGTTAACCCTTAAAAGGCAAAAAAATCCTTATGCAAAGGAGGCGCCAGAGAACTCCCCTGCCTCTAGTGAGTGCACGTCCCTGCGCTCTACCATATATAGTCTGAAGACACAAAACTCACTCATATGCTTGTACTCTTACTGAATATGCGTGTAAAAATATCTGCTCCTAAGCCACCCAAAGTCTATTTTGAAGCCATATCTTAAGCCATGGTTTGCGTACCTGTGATTATTTATAGCACACTAAAAATTATTTTAAAGAAGGTTTGTATGAACCTAATCTAAATCTCAACATCAGAGACTTGCAAGTATAAATGAGTTTATGCTGGTGCTTTTTTTTTTTAAATAATAAAAACTACCACAAAATGCTAATGCTAGTACTCACAGCAAAATCGGAAAGAAACTTCCATTGCTGCATTGGCTGATTGAAGGTTTGCTCACTTTGAGAAAGGTTCAATATGAATGTAAGGCCAGGATGGTCAGATGACATCACCATAGAAGTCAGAGAAGTACCTGCAAAAGTGAAATACCATTTTATGATGAAGTTCATTGATGTTATCCAACACACTGTGGATGGAACTATCTTTTCTATTCTGTCAGAGTTTGTTGCATAAATTCAAATCCAGAAGCACACACAGATAACTGATTCAGTTGGATTCATTAACTTGTTTATAGACATAAGAATAGATGAATAAATGTACAATAGCAACTGATGGTTCTTCCAATTAAACACAAGCAGTTACTTTCATTTCAGCAGACAAAAGCCCAGACAGACTGCTAGTTTACTTCTTAGAGCAGCAGAGTTCTTAAGTTTTTGTTTCAATTCTTTGCACAGACTCAGATCTGTTTAAGCTCCCATTGGCTGACTTAGTTGCTATGCCAATTCATTGACTGACCTTGTTCCCAAGTCTCTCCCAGTCATGAATATTTTAACCCATTCCAATCTAGGAAAGCAAAGAATCAGGATATAAGGAGATGGACTAATGGGTAGTGTCGGATCAGGAAATCCTTGCTGTGTGTTTTGAAGTCAGAAGGAAGTTGGCAAAAATATGCTTCCCTCTTCTCACTAGGGAATCTAAAGCATTTCATGAATAAATGATAAAACCCAGTTGAAACCATAAGTTCTTTACTGCTTATGAGATTCTCATTAAATCCCAAAGTCTGTTGTCATAGACCTACAAAGAGATTTTTAGCTTAGAAAAGATACTTAGGAAACATACAAAATGCTGGCCTTACCTGGGTGGGATATTATGAATTGCCCCCTGAATCGAATTTCTGTCCTGAAATGGACCACCAATCGCCCTTCATCATTGATTTGCATACTGGTTGGGTAAAGAGACCCTAGATGTAAGCAGCCATTATATTATTTTAGAAATATTCATAAAAAGACTAGTTGTTTGGTATCATTCAAATGTGTTGGATTGCAAGAACCACAAGACTTAGTCAGCATTGTGTGGAGTAAGGAGCCAAAATCATTGCTATGATAAAATAAAGCAATAAACATGAAAATAGAACAACATCAATAATACAAATTTTGTTTTAAAAGATAGCTTGGCTTTGAAGCAGCTGTCACTCTGCAAATGGCTGGATAAAGTTGTTTACTGCAATCCAGCCTAGAAACCAGCTATTTTTTTCTTATGAAGTTCCATATGGCTAATTGTGTCTAAGAGGCTGAGTTTTCACATCCTATAAGTAGCCAGTTTTCCAGACTAATCTCTTAAGGTAAAAAGGTTCTGGGAAAGAAAAAAAGGAAATAATACAATACAATACAATAGCAGAGTTGGAAGGGNAATAAATTGGAACTTTGAGGAATCTGTAGCTTCGGATTCTTTTTTGATTGAGGATGCTACCTGGAACCCTGACAGTGGACTAGAATCAGAGTCCTTCACTTTTCGTCCAAATGCACCAAACTGGCTCTTGTCAACATAAACACAATTAACACAATTTGAGTCCTTGGGAGAAGGGCAGCATATAAATCCAATAAACCTAAACCTAAACTCAATGTGCACTTGCTATAATTTCTTTTCTATTCTGTCCACAAGCGTTCATCCATCCATTCATCCATCCATTCATCCATTCTACCTCAAGACTGAACTCCATCTGTTATTAATCAACCGCCCTATACATTATTTTTAACAACCTGCTGCATAGATAGCGTAGGTGACACAGCTAATTTTACCTTGTCAGACATTTCACATCCTCATCTGTAGCCTGGTTGGATGTTCCCATAACCCAGTCGGTCAAATATTCCACCATCTTGTTCCTGGAGTTCAGAATTACAGAGCAAAATGTATGGAAACAACATCTGACAAAATCCAAATTAAAGAGGCTACGTGGAACATTTTTCAAATGCTAAATAAAATACTACCTTGGAAATCTTACATTGATCCCTCCCTCGCCACAGAATCAATACAATTGCACCATTTTCTCTTATAGCAACCATACTGATTTTCTGCCACTAGCTAAATACGTTATTAGTAGCTATCACATCATAAAACGGTCAGGCAGCATTAGCTAACCAACTTTGGCTAACATGGAAAAGCTGAGGTGGTTTGCGACTCGCTAGTACATAGACGGGAGCCACTCAAAAACCTTGCAGATCTTGTAGGTGAGTATGGGATACTGAAGTAAAAAGTCTGTGGAAATATTAGAAGTTGAGTTTAATCTGAAGGAGACTTTATTTTTATTTATTAAAATGTGTTTTTTAACTGTTACTTGTGGGACTTATGGTCCTCTTTGTCTTAACTTCCAAGAACGCTTGTTGTTTTCACTTTCTTCTCTCTACTAAATTTATTTATTGTCGGTCCACTAGTTGGCATGCCCTCAACCGTCACTATTCCAAAATCAAACCTTGTAGGCTCCACTTCAATGCTAACAGGCTGCCATTCTGGAGATGCAATTATAGTTCTTAATAAAGGCTCCAAAAGCTTCCATCAAACCTCTCACCTGAATTTCATTTCTTGGCAGAAGGACAGATCATCTCGCCTCTCCATCATTACCTTCACAAGTTGGCAGAGT